ATTCATAACAGTAGCAACATGACAGTTGTGAAGTAGCAACAAAAATAATTGTATGGTTGGGTCACCACATGAGGAACTGCATTTAAAGGGCCAGAAGGCTGAGAAGCACTGGATTAAGGCTTCAGAGCCAAAAGAGCTGGAGTTTCATCGGGTCCCGCAGGTGTCCATGTCAGAAATGTCCAAACGTACAGAATTTGTATGCGTTTACTTGAGCCAAACCGACGACAGTGACCTGGCAGCAGACCCCCGATGGGTTGAGAGAATGCCCCGGAGAGCGGCAGCTTGCACCTGTTTTCCACGTTAGAATCAAAGGAGGGTTGACGGGGTATCTGATGGTGGCTGGGACTCACTGTTCATTTCCTAAGGCATGAGCGTGGTATTGCCGATATGCGTTGTAAAAGGTTTTTTAGGTTCAGAGATGCATTCTCAAATACCGATGATTTAAAGGATCTTTAGAAAGACTTGGTTGGTCCCCCGTCACCCTGAGGGGTCAAACCTAGTGCCCTTGCCCCGTGGTCGGCAAACTGCGGCTCCCAAGTCACATGCGGCTCTTTGGCCCCTTGAGTGTGGCTCTTCCACAAAATACCACATGCGGGCGTGCACGTACAGTGCGATTGAAACTTCGTGACTCATGTGTGCCCACCGTGGCCCAGCTGTGCTGCCTGCCTGGTTTCTTCCACGTGTTGAGCACTTTCTTGGTTATGTCCTTGCACATCATGTTCCTTGCGGATGCCCTCTGACCCTGTCCCCTCCTCCACCAGATTGGTCCCTTGTCATCGCTTCTCTCCTATGCTGGCCGGGGGGCAGGGGTGGCAGCGGATGCCTGTAGTTTCCATCAGTGACATGGAGGAACATGGCGGCTCTCCTTCCTTCTCTCTCTGCCACTGCCGTGGTCTTCACTTAGGCTGCCGGCTCCTCTCGCCTGTACCCCTGCAGGGGACACCTCACCTGTCTTCCTACCTGGGCTCGCCGCCGCTTCCAGTCCCCCCTGCACACCGCAGCAGTGGCCTTGCTAAGGGTTGGCGCTGACGTGTGTGGCTACTTGTCCACCTGCTGAAGGGCACGCGGTGGACGTGACCTCACCGAATCCCCCAGCAGCCAACAGACACAGATGCTGCCTGGGCAGCAGCCCATGGAGCAGGCCCCTCCGGCCCTGTCTCTCCGCGGCCACTCAAGGGCTCTGCACCTGCAGGTCATGTCCTGCAGCCACCTCGCGGTTGGCACCAGAAGCCGTGTTGCCACTGCCCCGGCTGAACTGGCCTGAGACCCCACCCAGAAGGAACACGGAGTCCCGTCATTGGGTTCTTGGAAAAGCTGCATCATGGAGTTTAATAAGTGACCTGCAGGGTTGTTTTCCAGCCCTGATGGTTCGGAACAGCCTCGGAGGTCAGGTGGCCCCGGGGGCTGGGCTGCTGGCTGGGGCCCTGGCCCATGACCGCCAGCCCCTGGCAGCGTAGAAGTGGAGACACCCTCGGAGCTGGCTCCTGTACTGGCTGACGGTCCCTGTGCAAGCGGGTGGGGCAGACGGGGAGGGGGAGCCTCAGATGGGGTATCACAGCTGGATTCAAGGCCAGGGCTGCCACTGGCTTCCTGCGTGACTTTGAGCAATCACTTCTTCCACTGGCCTCCGTGTCAGAGCCGCAGCTGGGAGATTTAGGAGGAGGTGTGGAGGAGGGAGGTCAGACTGCCGGCACTCCGCTGGGAGTCTTGAATTGCTGCGGTCCCTCCTCTTCATCCTGCTCTGGCCCTCCCTCGCCTCCGTCCTCAGGGAATGGAGGCAGGGCAGCCTGGAGGCTGGAGCCCTGGGCTGGGGAGGCAGGTGGGTCTGGGTTGAGTCCTCCTGTTCTCCTCCAGGCTGTGGGAGCTGGGACAAGTGGCTCACCTTCTCTGAGCCCCACTCCCTCATCTGTGAAATGGGCATCCTATTTTTTGTCTCTGGAACTACGGGGGCTCCTGTATTAAATAAACTAAACTCAGATCCATGAGCCCTGGACATTTAACAAATGTTGGTGCCATCACGAAGGGCCAGGGTGAGGAAGGCAGAGAGGGCAGGGGCGTCCCTCTGCTCCGCAGGGCTCGCCTCTGCTGCCAGTCTCCTGGGCTGCAAGTCCCAGGCTCCATAAAAAATTAACAGCCCAGCAGAGGGCAGGGTTCATAGGTCACAATATGAACCCTCGAGCCCCCAGGGTTGCACAAGGGGGCCTGTTCCGCCCACGGCAGGGCCTCCCAGTGGGGCCCCGGACAGATGGGTGTGGAGGGCCTGGGACACCCTTCCCCCACTTCTCTCCAACTGCCCCGGTCTCCCCTCCGCCCAGCCTGAATTCCACCAGCAGAGACTTCTGTGGTGTAAGCCACCTGCTTTTGTAAAGCCTGCACGCTAAGGAAGGCTTTTGCATTTGTAAATGGTTGGGAAGTCAAAAGAAGATGATTCTGCCACCTGTGAAAATTATGTGAACTTCAAATGTAAGTGTCCATCAAGCGACTCCATTGGTCCGCGTGCTGTGGCTGCTCCGCCGACGCAAAGGCGAGGGGGGTCGTTTCGACAGAGACTCTATGTTCTGCGAAGCCCAAACTATTCACTCTCTGGCCCTTGACAGAAAATGCCTGCAGACTCCTGGTTGAAAAGAAACCAGCTTTGAAGGTGCACGTGCTCTGGGGAAGATTCAATCGGGCTGCTGGGCTGGAGTCAGGAGTTAGGCTGGCCTAACCTTTAACCAGTCACCTATCAGGCAAGGCACCAGGGCCCGTCTCCTCGCGGAGCCTCCTCTTCTCCATCTGGAAAATGGGCACAGCGATTTCCTCTCTGTTTACCCCATATTGCCGGGACAGTCTGATCGCCATGGACTCCTTAAGAAGAAACGACAGACGGCTGCCCTTGTCATCGACCCGATGAGAGCCTGGGGGTGCCAGGGGAGGTGACAGTGCCACACGGAGCCCGTGGGGCAGGGAGAAAGGATCCTTCCTCTCCAAACCACGTGCAGAAAAGACAGCCTCTATCCAGGGGCAGCTGGCACAGGGTGGTGGGTCGCTGACGCAGGGGTGCCGCCAGGTCAGGAAGGAGGGTGGGGACGGGGAGTGGGGGAAGCCACGCTGGGACTCAGACCCTGTCCCCGCGCACTGGGGACATGCCAGTGCACACTAGGTGTTCTTATCCTGTCCCTCCCCAACTCACTCCGCAAAGCCAAAGTCCCTACAGCGGCCCGAAGGCCACAGGATCTGCCCCAATCCCTGGCCTTTCGGATGGCACTTCCCTCTCCCACACCCCGTCACCTCCTATCCAGCCTCCCTACCTGCAGCCTCACACCCCCTGGCCAGACCTCCCCAACCAAGCACCCGCCCGCCTGAGAGCCTGCTGTGTGCGGGTCCCTCTGCCAGGAACACTCTTCCCAGATGTCCGCCGGCTTCCTGCCTCACTTTCTCCAGGCCTCGGCTGAAACACTGCCTTCTCACGAGGCCCACCCTGACGGGTCTGTTAAAAACTGCCCCCTAGCCCTGGCCGGTTTGGCTCAGCAGATAGAACATTGGCCTACGGACTGAAGGGTCCCGGGTTCGATCCTGATTAAGGGCACATACCTCAGTTGCAGGCTCCTCCCAGGCCAGGGCCCTGGTTGGGGGCTTGCAGGAGGCAACCAATTGGTGTGTTTCTCTCACATCAATGTTCCTCTCTGTTTTTACCTCTCTCTTCCACTTTCTCTAAAAATAAAAGGAAAAATATCCTCGGGTAAAGATTAACAAGAAGACAAAACAAGCCCCTATTGCTAATGGCACAATGCCTTTCCTTCTCATGTAATTCTCCCCCCGGCCCTATGGGGGGTTGGGTGGCTCCTGTCATATTCATATTTTTGGACGAGGGCCATCCTACCCAGAGGGAGCCAGGCTGCTGGGCTCCTAGTCCAGTGCCCCTGGGCAGTGGGTGGAGTTCTACAGCCCCTCCTTATCAAGCAAAGAACTGGATGAAGAAATCGAGCTGGTTAAAAACAAGTGTTTTTATGATTACACATACACACCCCCGGGCCGGGCGACAGTGCAGGTGTGGGCACGTGGCAGCTGCTGCCATCCCCAGGGTCTGCCCCTGCTCCTGCCCCGGGCTGGCCTGGACGCTGTGTCCTACCCAGTCCAGGCCCCTGGGGCTTGGGGCATGCCTGGGGGCGGTCAGACCTGCAGGCTTCACCCCATTTCAGCCTGTGGGCTCTGCCACCTATGGGCAGCCTCTGTCCCCCGCCTTCGGGCCTCCGCCCACACGGGGAGTAGGGAGAGGAGGGGCAGCTCCGGTCCTGCTGTCCTGGGTCAAGGCCGCATGCGGGGTCGTGTTGACTGAAAGTCCGATGACGCATGGAGGCGGGAGAAGATGACACCCCTTACGCAAGGGCCTGGGCGAGGGGGTTATTCTAGCTCCTTCCCACCCCTCTCTCCGGAGGCTCTGGCTGGCGCAACAGCCAGGCCCCGAGCCGCCCTCAGTAGGGGTAGGGGGACACGGC